TTTTTATCAACACAAATTAAAGATTTTAGAAAGTAATCTTAAAAATGTCACGAATGAACTCCAAAATCTTCGGTATGAAAATTTAAGATTGCAACGTCAACGTAAAGATAATAACTTTAAGAAAGAAAAGGAATGTTTTATAACCCATATGACTAAGATACATAATGAAAAGCTTCAAAATAGCTCTCAGAAAAATATGCTTACAGTGTCGAAATCTAAAGAATTTGATATATCATCACATTTATTTCTAGTTAGAAATTTACTCGCTGACCAAGACATAATGATACGAAATTTAAATCAGTTGTCGAACGAAGTTAACTCATTTGAAGTATAATAATTATTATTACCATGCCTTCTACCAATGGGCACTAGTGGCAAAAACAATCAGAAAATTAATATAATGACGTTGGCAAACGTAGTTTTCGAAAATTCTCATGGAACATAACACGTGATTCCTTAATATATAAATTTTCTAGTACACGTGGAAATGAGTACTGTAAATATAAGGTATGTAACCTAAAGTGGTTTATGGATTCTCTACCATTTGAAGTTATACTTCTTTTGGCGTGTTTGGAAAAAATTGGGTCAACAGGGGCAACTAGTAAAAACATATATTTATGACTTCTTATTATTAATTAGAGACGAAACTCTTTAATCAGTGCGATGACCTATGGTGCCGAGACGTAGTCTCTCACTATGGGCCTCATATGGAAGCTCGGGGTCGCACAGCGAGCTATGGTAAGGGTAATGCTTGGGGTTTCTCTACGAGATCAAATCGGAAATGAGGAGATCCGTAGACGAACTAGAGTTACCGCATATAGCAGAGCGAGTCAGCAGACTGAAGTGGCAGTGGGCAGGGCACATAGCTCGGAGAACCGACGGCCGTTGGGGCAGAAAGGTTTTTGAGCGGAGACCACGTGACGGCAAGCGCAGCGTAGGAAGGCCTCAAACAAGGTGGACGGACGTCCTAGTACGGATCAATCGGACGACCGGTCGAAGTGGAAGTCAATGGGTGAGGCCTATGTTCAGCAGTGGACGTCCTAAGGCTGATATGATGATGATGGTGATGATTATTAATTAGTTATGACGTTCTGTGCAGTAAAATCTTGTAAAAAGTAATTACAAAACAAGAGGATTATTGTTTTTTTTTTTGTGAAAAGTTGGCAAGCCCACAGGCGGTTCAGTTGATACCTGTGATTACCGCCGTCCGTGAACATACTACTACCTACACCTAAAAGGTTGCGGATGCGATGCCAAGTGTTAAAAAAGAGCCCCTGTCTTAGCGTACCTACCTATCACCTAAGGCGTTGCAGATGCGTTGTCAACTAAGACCTGGTTACCTCTCTCCCCAAACGAAACGCCAAAGTATAATAATGACTTTTCCACGTCATGCTGGTCTTATATGAAGTCGTGGTACTTCCTCGGTTGAGCCAGGCTATTCGTGAAATGTTATAACCGTTATTACCACACATAAGATCAGTCAGAATAAGACACAAATTCAATTTATTTAAAATAATTATTCGATAGACATCAAAGACTATATTTGTTGTAGATGACTACACATATGATTTATATTTCCATACTATCATTGATAATGTAAAATTACATAATATTCAAAACTTATTACATGTTAGTACTAGGTATTAAATTATGATATCAATTACTGGAACTGAAAATATTAGACGCCTGCCATATTTTGCATACCTAATGACTTTAATTTCATTATTGTACGTAGTATTTCAATTCCAGTTATGATAGCAGTACCACTATTTACATTATCTCTGCACCCAAATATGATTGCCAAAAGTTTAAAATTGAATATATTATTATTATTATTTAATTGTCTTATCTGTGTACACTTTACAAAATATAACCTAAGTTACTATGACCTCCGTCAAAATAAACTACTCAGTTGAAACAAAGTGCGCCTTTAATTTAAGAATTCTTAAAATAGACTAAATGTATGTTATTCAGAAGCAGATCAATTGGAACAGTGAAGAGCATCTGCACTAGCGGTATATTTCGTCGGTTTTGCAACGATAAAAATATGTCGTTAGAAAAATCAAAACAAGTGGCAGCCTATCGCGCTGTTGATGAATTCGTAAAAAGTGATTGTATCTTTGGCGTGGGCAGTGGTTCAACTGTTGTATATGCAGTGCAGCGTCTTGCGGAAAGGGTTGAACTTGAAAACCTCAAAGTTGTGTGTATTCCAACTTCATTTCAGGCAAAGCAACTGATAATAAAGCATAATCTGACTCTAGGAGAACTTGATACCAACCCTATTATAGATGTGACAATTGACGGCGCAGACGAAGTCGATTCTAATATGACCTTAATCAAGGGCGGAGGTGGATGCTTGTTACAAGAAAAAATTATAGCATACTGCTCAAAAAAAATGATAGTGATTGCTGATTATACTAAAGATTCCCAAAAATTAGGTGACAGATATAAGAAAGGGATACCAATTGAAGTAATTCCTATGGCATATGTTCCTGTTAAAATTAAAATATTAGCTTTGTATGGAGGAGAAGTAAAATTACGTGCCGCTATTGCAAAAGCAGGACCAGTTGTCACAGATAATGGCAATTTTATTTTAGACTGGATTTTTACAAATCAAGATTTAGACTGGGAGCAAGTAAACGAGACTTTAAAAATAATTCCTGGAGTTGTTGAAATTGGACTCTTTGTAAAAATGTGCTTTAAGGCATATTTTGGACAACCAGATGGGACTGTAGTAGAAAGAACAGCATAGTTCCTAGATATCAAATTTTTACTATTTTGATGAATCTGAAATGATGATGAATCTTAATCAACCTTTTTTATGTTTTTTAATTAAAGCTAAACTATTCCCACAATACTATGGGAAAAAATGTAACAAATTGTGTACATATTGTTTCATTGCTCATTCTCAAAATATACATTCCATTTCAAAAGTTAAAGAACTAATCACATCTTGCTCAATATAAATTCATTGGTAATGTTTGGATTGTCTGAATTGCATCAATACTATTCAGTCATTTGAGTATAATGGTCAGTACCATACAATCACATACAATTTAAATAAATACAGATATGTGTCACTCCCATGACTGACTTGAAATTGGCAAAATTCTTTAAAGAGAAGCCATAAAGTGAGAAAAATAGATATTGTTTTAAACTAAAGTATTAAACTTTATTCAATCTTATTATATTTTTGGGGCCTTTTTGACTGTTTTAAATTGGTTACTTAAAACGAAAAATGTGGTTTTATTAAATCTTTTTAAGTTTAGCAGTGCTATAGAAATGTGACAATTTTAACTGGTGAACAGAACCCATTTATCCTAAACAGCACAGTTCCATACAAACATTTTTTTGGTTCTTATTATGTATCATAAATGGACAACAGAATCACTATCAAAAAAAATATTTTCTTACCAACTTATATCGTAAAAAATATATAGAATAATGGCCTCCTCTTATTGGTATCCATATAATTATGTAGACCAAATATCTCATGTTTTCACATGCGAGTCTCTTGTACATTGTCCAAAATTATTCTTAGTATTATAAAACTAATCTTAAACCCTTGTAGTACTAGTTTTTTTAAGAAATATATTAAAATCAGTTATATGATAAAATACACCACTCATATTTCCTTAATCATTACTATTATACAAAAAACACATGTATTGTCTTAGGTAGACAACAATTTTAATCATGAAGGGGTCAAAAAAAGATAACATAAGTGGTATTATGGTAAAAGGATTTAGATAAATATTAAAACAAAAACATTTCAAGATTTATTAAGTGGCTTTATATAAGAAATACAAAATTCATAAATATATAAATTAATTCAACTTTGAAGGAAATAGTAACATATACTGTATTCTAAATAATGCTAATACATATAAACTGCCATTAAAAACATCATTTCTATTTTTGTACAACTATTGTGGGAAACAAGGCATTTGCTGAAGCTATTTATATTATCACTAAAACTTAAAATTATTACATTTTACAAAACAAAATTAAATATTGCTTAATAAAATGATTAAACTTAACTTACATAAAATACTATTTTAATAGCAGTAAATTATTTTGTGTTTAGTGAGCAGGTACCTGTGATAGTATCTATATTATGATGAAAAGTTACACATACATATTGAAAGGAACATAGTATTTGAATAATGATAAACATTTAAATTCAAGATGGCAAAGCTCCTAGTAGTTACTCCATATTCTGGCTATAAACATAAAATTTTAACCTATACTAAATATATTTTTGATTGCTCACATTCCGTATGACATACAGTGTGTCATTACCACTGCGACAATAAATGAACACACATATAGAGGATAACTTAAAATTATAATACATTCTTTAAACATCAATATTTACAGAGTTATTAAATTTTCCAAAACATACAATTTTAGAACACCCTTACATATAAAAGTGTAACATAAAGTTCATTTGTAAAGATCACAAAGCACATGAATGGGTTGAATGAATTTAAGAGACAAAACATACTGTTAGAAGGAGAGGCTTGTAATGCGACGCTGTGGCGCGAGTTGTATAGGATGTTACAAATTGTGTTTCTTTTTTATTTAATTAGTTTGTTTGAAAAATATTTCTTTTTAATTATGGATTTAGTTTAATGTTCATATTTTTTTATGATTATTGGCAAGTAGCGTTAGACGTGTGTTCATTTATTGTCGAGATGGTATCAACACGCAGTACTAATTCAACACTGAACATGTCACAAATTTTTTCACTTGTAACTAACTTGTAGAGACTACTATAAGCTAATAGACCAACATTATAAGTAGAGCCTATGGTTAGCTATTCTATAATTTTAATTAAACATAAAATATGACATTAAAAGTGGAATGTAGCTTTCCTTTTCACAGTTGTATCTCACATTAGTACGTAAGCCATTTTTAAAATTATACTTTGGTGCATGAAATGTGTACAAAAATATATATTTCAGTTTTATCAAACCATGCCTAAAGTAAATATTTTAATATAGGCTTGTCTTTTTCATAATTCTTAGGAACTCTTCTTGATTAATTTCCCCATCGCCATCTCTGTCTGCTTCATCTATCATTTCATGGAGCTCCTCGTCTGTCAAATTTTCACCAAGTTCCTTGGCTACCCTTTTAAGATTCTTAAATGAAATTTTACCTGTAAAAATAAGAAATAATTTATATTAATTTGGCAGGAAATAGTACTAAATAAAAAGCTTCAAAAACATATTTCACTTTGCATAAAATATATTGAATTGGTGCTAAATGAAATAATTCAAGAAATCTTTCAGAATAAAATTATTGGTAAAGGTGCAGATTGGTGGCACAGATTTTTTACTCTTATAAATATTTTTAAACAATAAAAAACCATTACATAAATTAATATAGGCAACTGTGGCCGTGATAGCTCATTGTCCAGGCACTCGCTGTTAATTCAATATAGTAGAGCAACGTGAGTTTGATCCCTGGTGCCAGCACCAATGAAATTTTTAATTTTATATGCTGATTTAACACATGCTCAATGGTGAAGGTAATCACAAAAAATAAATATTTTGACAGTATATGAAGTCCACGAAACCACAGTGGGGTTACATGGTGGACTATGACCTAAAACCCTCTGTACAGCAGAGGGCTTTGCCCAGCAGTGGGACTTTTATAGGCTGTTACTTTGGTTTTTTCTTTACTTTTTACATTAGAGTTACAGAGCCCAGTTGCTAACAGTGCTTCTATTGTATTTTGTAAGTTGGACATGGAAGAAACTTATTGTTGTATCAGTATGAATGAAATAAGAATGTCCCTATGGATTTTAAACAGAAAAAAATGGGAAAATCAAAAGACCAATATAAGTTACAATGTATCTATAGTAGTCATTTATGACATGTTTTCATAATATGGATAAAAACAAGTAGTTTATATAGAACTGAATGGTCACATTACATGATACATTATTAGCATTGAATTCATTAATTTTGAAAAGATCAGTCTTCTTCTTCTTCTTTGATTAATGGCCTCTCTAAGGTCAGTCTTAACTTGTCAATAAGAACTCTTAACAAAGTAACAAATTGAATGCTAGCAATATTAGAACAGCCATAATATAGATAAATTATTCTCCAATATGGTTTGTACTATCTACAGTCTACATTGTTATGAAATAGTAAATAATAATCAATAATACCAACCAGTTTCATCATCATCAAATAGTTTAAAGGCCTTCATAATCTCCTCTTTGGTATCTTTTTCTGCCATTTTCACAGTCATCAAATCAAGAAAATCCTCGAAGGCAACTTTCCCATCCCCTTTATCAATTTCGGCAATCATCTTCTTTATTTCTTCCTTCTTTGGTTCAAAACCAAGAGCCCGAATAGCAACTTTTAATTCCTTGGTATCAATTTTTCCAGTGTTTTCCGTATCAAATAGATCAAATGCTTCTTTTATATCACGGCGCTGTTCCTCAGTTAATTCAAACTTTGGTCCTGATTTCTTACGCACTCCTCCTGGTGGCGCGTTAGAGTTCATATTCTTTTTCTGTGAATTACTTATAGCTGTTGTCTGTAAAGTATCAATACATATTACTTTTCCAAGTGTTTTTAAATGTATGCTCTAAAAGATTATCAGACGAAAATCAATATATCTACACTTACCATGTTTCCGTGTGTGCTTGTTTTAGATTAGTTTAAACAAATTTAAAGAACTTGCACTTTATAAAAGATATCGCGTAGTACGTTCAGTTTATTTGTTTATTCATTCATTAACATTATTAACACAAGTCACAAGTACACTAACAAATACAATAAAAATTCAGAAACAAGACAGGCTAGGTATTTAATATTTTTACGAGGCTAGAATAGAACTTCGTTTATTCGTTTCTTCGGCTTCGTATCGGTTTATTTGACATTTATTAATGTTGCTATTTTTAAAAATCTAGTATATACTACCACCATAAATCAGTAAGTTGCGTAAAAAAACCAGTAACCGTATATAAATCTGATAAATTAGTCCCAATTATCAGAATAAATGACTTATTTTATTACTGGTTAATCAATGACCATAAATTTAATGATAGCAAAGCTTTTTTTCTGTAAGTATACTTTGCTGCTATCCTTTGTCGACTTTGACACCTTTGTTGGAAGCGATCCGTGGAAAAACGTAGTGATTATATCCTCCATAGATAAGACATATATACTGAAACCTCTGATCCGCGGGTACAGAACATACATATACTCTAGGGAGTCCGTGTTTAAACGACCCCGTACTCATACGAAACAACGTAAGTGGTACACGACTGCAAGATAAGTTGCCGCCGGGCGCCGTCCGCTCCGCTGCATCTCCGCGACCCCTGTACGTCAGTTTTGTTAATATGACTATTTAAATCTGTACATAATAGCACACAGCCGCCTGTTTTAAGCACTTAATGTTTATTCATTCTTTAATGTTTATTCGACGCTAAGTAAACTAAACTAGGTAACTAAGTTGGGATGATGGAAACTACGATGGGATTATAGCGATTCAACGTACTGACGTTTTTATATTTGCTAACAGGAAACGATGATAAATGCAGTGAAAATACGCTATGTAGTAAATGGCCGTTTTACGACCGTACCGTACGTACGTTCGCACTAGTGCTGCCATAAAATATCGATATATTGATATTTTTATATAGCAATAATTTTAGCCGGTATATCGATATAAAATATTCAATATCAAAATCGTATCAAAAACGATATTTTCATCAAATTGTCATAACTAATTAAGAAACTTATTTCCTTCTTTTCTTTACGCGATTTGAGAACGCAAGCAAAGGCAGAACTCGTGAGAAATAAGGATTCTACGAGCTTGATACGGCCCTCCTAGTTGGGAAGGGTCGCTCATTTACTCATGCGTGCCTTTATTTATGACATACATTACATCTATATATATAATATATTTAACATCTATTTGGGAGCAATCTCACCTACGAATCATAAGTATGCCCTGACGACTGCTGACTGTATGGCCGGGGGCCAAAACCGGGGGGAGCAAACCGCCCTGGAAAGCTGTGTACATGTCGTGTTGGTCTCGTCGTGCTATTAGAAAATTTAAATTTGAGAAGGTGGCAAGTGAGCTGTCGGTTCACCTGATGTTAAGTGGTATCCGCCGCCACATTTTCAACACACGAAAGGTTTCAGATGAGTTGCCACTTTTTAATAGTGTTCCTCGGTTACCTCATCAAACGAAACACAGAAGTATAACACTTCGACTAAACGCAGGTCTTCTGTGAGGTTGTGACTTCGCCGGACCTGCCTACTCGTGTAATAGCGAGACTGCTGCGCAGCCCTACCACGGTAAAGATGAATGATTGTGTTTGCTATCGCTGTGTATATGCATAGCCTTGTCGGGCGGGATTCTCAGCGGGTCACTTTCGTCCCGTTCTCAAACCGGGTCGATGTGGACGATGTCCGAGCGATCGGATTCGGAATCAGAGAAATAGGATGAATTTCTGCTTTCTCGCCGAAATATTTGTTATGTCTGTAAAGCAATGACATCCTATTAGGAGTCCGCAATCGCTGTTGAGGTCGACTGCTGCTGGTCACTGCTTTGGTAACGCAGGTGAAATCTTGTGCAAATGTGTTCCACGAACATATTTGCAAGGACATTTGAAGAAAGTTTTATATGTATATAAAAAAACTGTTTAATCATGTTCAAATATATATTTGAAATCAACGAATATGAAATTTTTAGTAGTACAAAAAGGAAATTTACGCACTATACGCAAAAAAGGGTAATTAAGCAATTACCTTCGACACGACTTTTTGTTGTTTGCGGGATGTTACCCGACCTCAACTCAGCAAACAGCCTGGACGAGCCTGCCCATTTATTCAACAGACTTTCAGTTGCATCACTATCACATTAGACTTTCTCAATTTAAAAATAATTTAGGTTCATTTACTGTAAATATTTTATATTCAATATTTGATTTAATAATATGAGTATTAATTTTAAAGTTTTTTAGAGTGCTAATCTCTGCACTTAAGATTGAACATTAAAACATGTAGAAAAGTACGAAAAGATTGTCGCCGTCGATTTAAAATGTATAGCAATGACGACATCTCTCGTTCGAATTATCGTTGTAAAACGAAATTGTTTGTATGCTGGAAAGGATATAACAATAGATGCGCCAAGCATTGCCTCAAATGCTAAATAACAATGTAGAAAGGCGTTAAGATTTTCGTTGCTGTGGCTATCAGCCGTTTAGCTCAGTGGCGACAGTTTAGACGTGGGTTCGATTCCCACAGCGGCGACAATCTTTTCTTACTTTTTCTACAAGGCAAATTATATAAATTCTTAAATTGACATCAAGGGGTTTTAAGCTACGATAGATCCTTTGTTTTTATGCAAAACTAAATTACAAAAATATTTAGATAACTGTTTTGTTTTAATTACATAATATACATGTTAAGTCCTATCTTAATACATACTGTATTTATTATACAATGTAATGATATGAAACGCTGGCCTACAACCAATTTATTATAACCATCTTTACTTAAAGAATACATGAAAACAGTATTATTCATAAAATCAATACACGAACGGTATTAATACCAATTTCTGGTGCCTACTTCACACAATATTAACGCTATAGAATAGTGTACTTTAATTGTTCATAGCACAGAGTTCCAAAAGTAATTAAGGCATTATCAGAGGCACTTGATTATTTTGCGGGTTTAAATCTCCTTCGGCGGAAACCACCCTTGAGTCCAGGTACAGAAGTGAAGATCATTTATTACGTCGTTTGGGCATTTAATATCAATATGCGGTATTTCGACGAGCGCCATCTTCTGGCAAAGGTCACATGAACGCAGCCTTGTTGGTGACATGTGACGTTTGGATCGGAGAGGAAATGTCAATTTTGGAGGCAACTTCACGCGACCGTGGCTTGGAATGTAAAATGCCTCAACATCAACAGAAAACAGCCGACCATCGAAAGCGATGTGCGAAGAGATTACAGATGGGGTATGCACATGTTATTTGCGATATCTAAACAAGTGATTGAGATTAACGTAGATAAAAAAATTGTTCTTATGAATCATTTTCAAATTCGATAGTGTACTTAATAGTTTTTCTTTTTATACTTTGGACTCAGAAGACAAAAGTGCCGGACCACCATAAGCTTGAGTATCTAAGTAATTAAATTCCTCTAAAATATATTCTACCTTTACCAAAAGTTTGGAACAAAAAAATCGAGCAGCATTATCTATTTTTTCGGTAAAATCAAACCCAGATACAGAGCATCCGCTCGTAATCAATTTACCTTATCCTCAACAGATATCGTCAAATGCCACAGATTTTAGTTTTCTTAAATACACTTTGCCATAACAGGTATATTTTTCAACTTTTACAGTGAATTATGCCCAAAATGGACTTAAAACTTTGCATGAAATAAATTAGTCAAATTAAACAAGTTGACGGTTAAGAGTAACATAATCAACAATTAATTCAGACGGGTTCCACTATGAGCTGTGCTTCTTAACAACTTAACAAGCGTATATATGTTAAAACAGTACTACGCAAGATGCATTGTATTAGAAATAAGTAAGGCTTAGTACTGCTTTTGCGCACGGGAAGCCGTCGTCGCATAGGCCTGCGGTGCTTCACGCGAGTGTTCGCGCACAATAACTTTTTTCCAAAAACACTAACAGATGGCGCGTAAATCAATTAGACGCATGTTTTATGGGATGACAGGGTACGCAAAGCTTTATGCATTTATGGTATGCTCCCACATTAGTACAAACATAAATGTATAATTTGTGACGGGCTTAGACTTTTGTAGCAATTAAGACAAACCGGATAGAGAACGAAACAGGAAGGCTGCTTCCGAGGTAGAGAAAAAGGGTGGGAGTCACGTGTAACTATCTCGTAGAAGAAGAAGACCAGAGAAGTACCAACAGACAAGCCAGAGTCACGTGAAAACAACCGGAAGAATGGGACACAGATCCGCATTAAGGATATAAAGGCCTAAATCGTGCAAGGGCAGTCTTCAAGGCCACGTGCGTTTCGCGGCATCAGGGCGCTGAAGGAAGCGTGCCGAAGGACTTCATCAGGTGGTAGCAGTGCGGCAGGCGGCTGCGGTGGCCGATCCTCTGCAGCGTGGCGGCGGCCTGAGCGAGCATGCCCGCCCGCTCGCCAGGCGCAGCGAGCACTGCCGGCGGGAGGTGCTTGCACGCCATATATAGGGCCACCGCCCGCTCCCCTTCCCCCCCGCCACCCTCCAGCGCGCGCTCTGAGAAGATGTCACATACAGATTACAGATCAGAATGTTCATAAGCGGCAGTATCCACTTAACAAAGGCGAACCGCCTATTCATTTGACATCTTTTCATATTCAAAAAAGGTTGTCGTTTACTGCCTTCACTTTATATTTTACTATGTGACAAAGTTGACAAGCATGCAGGGGTTTTTCCGGAGATTAAACCTGCTAAACCCATAGATTTCCAATTGACCATCTTTTTACAACATCGGTTTCGTCAGGTTAACCATCCCGCAGAAGAACAGCTTGAAGTGTAAATATCACACACACTTCACATATTTTATTAGGTTTTGCGGAGTTCTGATGTATCCCCAAGTAGTGTAAGTCCAAGTAAAGTAGTTTAATAACAATGAAATATGGGACCACATGGGGATTGAACCGAACCCAACGTTAACGAAAAATAACTTTCAAAACTAGTTCATAAATGACAAAGTTCCAAAACATCAGACAAAAATAACCGTACGAAGGGTTCCGTACCATTATGTATAAAAACGGCAAAAAAATCATCTCTGTTTTATGGGCGCCACACTTAAATATTTTTTTATTCTGTTTTTAGTATGGACGGACGGACGGACGGACGGACAGGAAGACAGCGAAGTCGTAGTAATAGCGTCCCATTTTACTGTTTGCGTACAGAACCTTAAAAAAGAATACAACCGAATCCCGAACCTCCCTTTTCGAAGTCGGTGAAACACTATTTATTACCCTTCCCGCAGATGATCGAGGAGCGGTTCATCCTCGGCCTGAGGCTGCCATCGAGCAGTTGCTGCGTGCGCCTGGGCGCCGCGCCGGCCATCATTCGGCACACGGCGGAGTGCAGGAATACACGCGACGTCACCCACTGGGATAAATAAATAAATAAGTAAATAGATAGATAAATAGATATGTTACATCCCAAGTCACCATCGTACTGCACCTAAATCAATTGCGCAACGACCGGTGCTTCATTCAATAAAATCGACAACCGGCAAAGCGCGGCGCCTTTCGTCATCCTAACTTCGGACCGATTGGACACCCCTTAGTGTCCTAAGTATGATTATTAAGAAATTTTTTAAAACCTTTATTAAATATATTTTTATATTAAGTTATGTTTTTTTAAGATCCTCCGCTGCGCATTTCGTAATTAATAGATAAATATTTTAGGACCCAGTGTTACCAACTGTTCAATAATAATACTACTACAAAAACCCACTAAAATGACTAAATTCTAACAAAAACTTCCTTAATTTAAAATACTTTTTTTTACATTATTAAGGTACAATTCTTATTTGGTAAAATTAACTTTTGTCTTTTTCTTTAATTGGCCAAAACAATTAAATAGAATATAATTCATTTTTATATTACTCTAGACGAACCCACACCCTCTAGCGCAGGAGGCAAGTACACTACCCACTGCGCCATTCGGGTGGTCTATACAAATAAATCTATAAAATAATAACGGCCGATTCCAATATCCTACCTACGGATACGATTTGGTCACTAGCGATAGTTTCTAGCTCCATAATACTTACGCCAAAATTCCATCTCCAGTAAACCCAACCGAATATTGAAACCAGACGTTAAAGATTATTATTACTATAATGATTTTTAGTTTTTTATTTGTTGTAAGTGTCCTTTTCTCAGTAAATAAATATATTTTCCTTGTTTGCTTCTTTATAAAAATTTATCTTCCGTATGTTTGTATCCACAAAACACAGACTAGCCGGTGGATTGACTTGATATCTATGGAATATATCACAACAAAGCTTTTTATTCCGTAATTCTAGCGGGAACAAAAAAAAAGACACAACGAATCGTGGACGGGATAATAAATTTTTTCAGGACATACTTTTACACAACTTTAATCAGTCGTAGTAGATACGGAATAATAATATATCCGTGTATAAAATATCTGTGGGCCACACGAATACTTGTCCCGTGTGGGAATCGAGTCCACGAACCTCAGCGCTGAAGTCAACAGCTCCGCACCTTCGCCACCAAGTCGTATAACAACTGTATCAAAAATAAAAGACAAGCCAACGTTGACTGTGGTAGGACCACGGAACGGTGTAAAAAATAGACTCTGTCTATAGACAAACTTTACGTAAATCTGAAAAGATTTCGAAGCTTTAACGGTTTCTGTACTTTTATGTTTTTTGAACATTGTCATTACGTTTTAGACACACAAACCTCACGCGGACGAACACGCAGATTCGAAACAATCATCCGCGGGTCCCACGAACAATTGTCTAATGGAGGCGAACCTAAGACCCCCCGCGCCGAAGCCAACAGCTCTGCGAATGCGCGACGAGGTCAACGAACTGTACGGAGCACTGACCGGTAGGTTCTGCGAGAGCCGTCGCAACGAGTGCAGGTCCCTCTGGAAGGCCTGCAACTGCAAGTGGGGGGCGGGGCTCGAACCGGCGCCCCCCTCCGCCCCCGCCCCCGCCCCCGCCTCCCACACCCCCGCGCGCACCTCCAGCAGCCAGTCGCAGCACAGCACTTGCATCAGCTGACACACGACAGTTCACATTTGTAATCGGCACGATCTCGGGAATACATAGCAATATTCTATTCGGAAAAATGTAACATCGTTCCATGGGCGGCGGTTATCACTTAACATGTAGTGAATCGTCAGCTCGTTTGCCACTTTCTCACAAAAAAAAAAAAAAAAATAAAAAAAAACTGGCCAAGTGCGAGTCGGACTCGCGCACTTCCGCACCATTATCTATGAAAACGAGAAAAAAAATTATGCCCGTTGTATGGGAGCCCCACTTAAATATTTTTTCATTCTGTTTTTAGTATTTGTTGTTAAAGCGGCAACAGAAATACATCATCTGTGAAAATTTCAACTAACTATCACGGTTCATGAGATACAGCCTGGTGAGAGACGGACAGACAGACAGCGGAATCTTAGTGGTTTTAGGTTTTACCCGTTCTACCCTTTGACTACGGAGCTCTAAAAATGTGAAGTGATATGCTAATTATAGTGCGTTTCAAATAAGAATCTGCGCCTCAATGATCTCGATCTGTCAAAGATCACTACAAAGGTACAGTTAGCAACAAAAAATATCAACGAGTTAAAAAGAGTTAATAGAAGACGATGATAATTTTAGTTTCGTTATAAACACAATTAATATTTTCATTGAAATATCAATCAATGGCATATTTTAATACTGATGATGACGACGTTGATGAAGATGATGACTTTTTTTATTCAATAATGTTCAGTTTTCGCGTAATTAAGAAATTATTAGAAATCGTTTGGTGGATTTACGGTTGGGATTGGTGATTTACACTCTGAATTGAAATCACGCTTTACATATTTGCTACATTTAATGCACGTTTTTATATCTTGTGCAAGACATCTCCTATTGACAAAAATACAAAAGCAACTATGGCAGATAAACAAAATTAACACAAATTAATAACATTAAACAGCCACTAAGGTACTACAAAATAGAAATATGTACGTACGATACAACGAAACGCAGGCAAACAAAACGTGGTTCAGCAACACAACAAAGGGGCGTATGTAGGCAGCGACTAAAGCGAGAATTGCTTTGTAGTAAGATTGCACAAAATAAGGTGACAAGTGCAATGCAACTACAATGCACTCACGCAACAGTCATTGGGATCTTCTAAAGTCAAAACATAAGTGAAGAAACTTAGAAGCATTCAAACGTCGGTAATCTTTACGCACCCACCAAGCAGATCTCTTGAATGACTGGGTTGCCAGGTTTTGTGGTCTGTTGTTCGCCAGTGATTCAAAACAAAGTGATTGAAAGAAGACATCCGTGAATCTGGTTGGTGCTCACCATCATTAGCTGGGTTGGTTTCCTGCAGCAGTAGTACGCAAGCGAGTCAGCTAACCTGGCTCCGGCGATATCGCACACCTGGAAGACATTACAAGCAAGGTTTCATTTCATTAAATTAAATTAATGGTGCGGTTTTGCACAGGTCGAAATTGACGGATGCAGGTGTTAAGGAATGTGCGTCATGACAGTTTGTGGGAGACGCTTTTGTTCCGCAGTGGACCTGTAACGGCCGAAATTATGTTGAATGTTGATGAATAAAGGTTATCAGTTTCTAGCAGCTTCACTAATATATAAAAGCACACATTAGTTTGGACGCTCCTTGACAGTCAATTCGTTGGGCAGTCAGCTGGTCCGCTACCTTCCTATATGATAAAAGCGTGTACGCGCCTTTAGAATTTGCTTGTTGATAATTAGAAAAATCACTGAGCGCCGCAGTGTGGACGCACTTTGACAGTAAGCTTCTCCGCTATTTTCCTTTATGATAAAGTGTGGACGCACCTTTAGGATTTGCTTGTTGATTATTAGAAAAAGCACTGAGCGCTGCATTGTGGACGCACTTTACAGTAAGTTGGTCCGCTACCTTCCTTTAAGTGTGGACGCACCTTGACAATCCACTGATTCGCTACCTTCCTTTATGAAACTAGTGTGGACACAGCTTACGAATTTGATTATTGATTGTTAGAAAAAGCACTGAGCGCCGCAGTGTGGAACCTTAATACGCACCACCTAGCGTGTTTGCTATCTCCCTTCTTAAACAAGTGTGCACGCACCTTGACACCCATTGGGTCGCTACCTTCTTTTATAAAACAAGTTTGGATGCACCTTGTTCGTTAGCTACCTCCCTCTATAAAACAAGTGTGGACGCACCTTTGTCAGTCAGCTGCTTCGCTACCTTCCTTTATAAAACAAGTGTGGACGCACCTCGTCAGTCAGCTGGTTCGCTACCTTCCTCTATAAAACTAGTGTGTACGCACCTCGACTGCCAGTTCGTTCGCTACCTGCCGTTACCATTCAAGTGTGCACGCACCTTGAGTATGGTGTCGGAGGTCCTCTCGAGGGAGCGCTCGTCGTGGCACTGGGCGAGGCTGAGCAGGCCTCGTCGGCTTTTGTACGCGGCGTGCAGCGCCCTGCATTGGACCGGCACAATGGCCGCGCTCTAATCACAGCGTGTTTACACAAAGCAGACAATAGTTATTAATAACGACGGCTTAAACCGCTCCGGTGTTTACATAACACGCGCGGAACTAGAATGTCTAGGTCGGCGCGTGTGAATGCGCTCATTGTTCCGAACGAGTGGCGATTCGCTCATCGGCGTTTCAACGGTGACGGATGCCGAATCCGATCGGGGGTGGCGGAGTCGATCAGTGTGCGGTGGGATCGGTTTTGGTCGAGATCTAAACTGACGTTGGACACGGTTCTGGTAAGACGATAATATTTAATCGCAGTAATAAAGGAACAGTTTAAAAAAAAAATTGTAAATTTAAGTTTGTAGAACAATTTGCTTAGAATGCAAAAAAAACAATGTAGATACGTTGCGTTGCTTTTCATCGGTTTGGCAATCAGCCGTTCAGCTTAATCGTTTTGCGTCTGGGCGCGAATCCTGAAGACGTGGGTTCGACTCCCGCAGAGGCAAAAAACTTTTCGTCCATTTGTTCTAAAAATTTTAATGTTTCATCTTAAGTGCAGAGATTAGCACTATAAAAATTTTAATTTCACATACAAATTAGATGGTATTGTTAAGACCGAATCAGAAACAGAAACTCTTTTTATTTAACTAAATGATATTTAACATAATATAATATATTGTTTGTTCATTCTAGTCAACGGTAACGATTTTGTATTTTTACATGAATATTATAAATTTAACGAAATCCTTTACAGTTTTATCGCGGTTTAGATTTGATTTTTACACTGACATCTGAAAGTAGTAGTTATAACCTCGTCCTTTTTGAAGTCGGTTAAAATAAAAAAAGGGTTATTCAAGCGTCCTAGCCCTATATTACTTTATGGTCTTGACACCAATATCACTTCTCATCTTGATATTTAATTTAGCTTCCGCTAGCTAGCTATTTTACATAAGTGTTTTTCCCTTTTTTTAACCAGAAGTTCCGACGGAAACGTAAAAAAACGCACAGCGGAACGTAGCCAGGTTCAGCTAGTAATTTAATACAACTATTATACATATTGTATCTTGGCTTTGGCTAACTAGTGAAGCGCTTACATGCAAACATTTTTTATGCTCGCTGTTAGTTAATCCGTGCTTCATGATTTTTCCGACATCTTCGACCATCACCGTTTCATTTTTGTCGGTTTACACAAAACCTCAAAGAATTATGCACCTGAACTCTCCTTATGAATCATTATTTCCATTGAAAGAAATCGCATAAAAAATTTCTTTCATTGCTTGTTTTTTTATTCAAGTTTGTTATAACGGAAACCGAAACAGGAACAGATATAAAAATTAAATCTGAGCGGATAGCGAAACCGAAACGGTTGCGGAAGCGTGATTGTCAATACTATGAAAAAAACTTCTCGGGGTGTACTTCATGAATCAAGCCCGAGCCACCACGGCCGCGCTTCACTCCGTCATATTTCCTTTTAAATTTCCGTTACAAATGTTGCGGCAACAGAGGCAGATACTGGTGTAAAAAGAAGCATGCGGAACTACCGCATTTGCGGAAACAGAAACAGGGGTCTGTCGCATCGCCACTGATAATTTGAACGGGCGATACGCACCCGGGCAGGGGGTCCTCGCAGCTGATTAGCGTTTCGGGCAACAGGTTAAGCCTGTCACCAATCTCATTCGCCTTCGCGATGTCGCCCAGCAGCCACGTGGCCGCCACGCCCACGATGTTCGCCCACCACTCCATCACCGGGTCCCAGCAACCTGCGAAATGGGCAATCAAAATTCTTCATTCAACACCGGTTTATTTTAAGCTTTACTGTGGTATAAAAAACTTTTGCTGTGGTAGGACCACGCAGCTGTCTTCGCTGACGCACGAATGGGCAGATCCGTCCGGGTAAGTACCACGACCCCACAGAAGACCGAACTGAAGTGGAAGTTAGACTTCTGCGTTTCATCTGGTGTGTGAGGTAACTGAGGCCTGCTCTATTAAAATGTGTTAACGCATCTGAAACCCATCAGGTGTTATAGCTGGCCATGGGCGGCGGTAATCACGTCACGTCGGTCTTCTGTGAGGCCGTGGTACTCACCCGGACGGAACTGCCCATTCGTGCAACAGCCGAAGCTGTTGCGTGGTCCTACCACGTTTCTTATTGTCGTTATAGTTTAGATTCGCAGTAAAACTTTACCGCTGTGTTGGGGCGCGTCGGTGGACACGTCTTCGACGATTAGCTTCACGAGGTCCAAAACGTCGCGGGTGCTGCTTCGCTCGTCGGCGCAAAGCAGCATATGGAGACTCTTCTGCAGCAGCTCCAAGTGATAGGCCTAAAATTTCGACACAAATAAGGTATGGTTTACTAGGACTAACTAACGACGACCCGATTGGCCCAATGGGTAGTGACCGCGCCTCTTACGCTTGAGGGTGTGGGTTCGCTCTACACTACGGGAAAAATAATGTGTGATGAACATAGTATTTTTCCAGTTCTGGGTGAAATAAACACATATCATAAATATATAATTTATGATATGTATTTATTTACAAAAGAAAAGAATGTGTAACTATTTTTTTCAGTTGTCTAGTACAAGTGTTGCTTAGTTTGGGACTATAAAACGTTGTGTTATTCCACAGTCACACTCGGAGACTGACAAGTGCCTAACAGTATTAGGAATATTTGTCCACCCATTAGTAAAAAATTATACGTAACTAGCTGACCCGGCAAACGTGGTTTTGTCATATAAATTATTTGTAGGGTAGAAAAAAATGTTTGGGGCGGACCACCCTTAACATTTAGGGGGATGAAAAATAGATGTTGTCCGATTCTCCGCCCTGGCCGATATGCACACAAAATTTCACGAAAATCGGTCGAGCCGTTTCGGAGGAGTTCAATTACTAACACCGTGACACGAGAATTATATATATTACATTCAAAATGTTTAACGCATTTTTCAAAGAACGATATTTTAATATTATGTACCTAACTTTTATTTTGCTACGTAGCCGCACACGTAGCACTAGTACTACATACATACTTTTTTTAGTATGGGGGGAGGAATTTTCAAAAGATTACCAGTCACCCCTGACACCCCCTCCACATAACACATGACAGGGTTATGTGGAGTTCGTACCCACTAAAAGCCCTTCGGTGGCTACCCTGTCCGTTTGTAGGTACACCGGGCTCTCCTACGGAACGTACCTTACCCTGTCTTGGAGAAAGATAAATCTTCCCGTTTTCCCCCACCAATCTTATGGCAGCACGAGCCAACTTAGCACTGCCGCAAGTCCGCCCAGCGTTCCATTTAAGTCCTACCTTACTCCTGTTCTATGACCCCGGGACTAAATAGCTGTTGACTATGTAAACTTATGTAAGTAGGCATATTATAACATAGCGGGATCTCGACGAAGGCAATGTGTGGTATTACTGTTGATACTCACGTAGGCTAAAATAAGACTTATACATGTACCATGTTATATTGTAAAGTGATATTTTTAAAAGAGCAACTATTGAGTTTCTTTCCTATATCTTCTCAAAAGAAATTACTTTCCGAACCGGTGCTATGTTACTTACGAACTTGTGTAATAAATTAAATGTAAAATTCGACGTTTCATAAGAACGAGCAAGCGCCTACTTGAATAGACATTTAGAGTTTAATTTGCATTTACTGCCTTTTTTGTACGCGTGGGGGAAATGCCTACGCATACCCGCCCTCGCGGGGGCCTGAATTTAGTGGATAGTGCCTAGTGACTCGCATTACAATACTAGCCGAGAACTGACCCGCATGGCGTAGGCGAGCGGGTCCGCGGCGCTGGGAAGCCGCGAGAGGAGAGCGGCGTGCGGCGGCGCGCGCTCGTAGCTCCAGCGGCGCGTGCGCAGAAAGCGCTGACCGCGCTCGCTGCCCGCCCAGCGGAGGCGCACCGGCGCCCCACCCCCCACGCCCGAAGCGCACGCCTCCGAGCACCAAGCGCTGCAGCGCCTCAAGTAGTACCTGACGTTTTTTCCGGTTAATGAGCTGACAACTTTCAGAACGCCAAAAGAAGATTTAACAGTTTATTAACTCTCATTCAGAGGTTCGTTGTGACTGGACTCTAACAGACGGTTTCAATATTCAATCTAGAGATAGATTAGGTTACTGGAGATCGAATTTTGATGTAAGTAATACGGGGCTAACGTTAAATATTCTAGTTACCAAATCAATCTGTAGACAACATTGAAACCAGCCGTAAAACGATGCATCGTCCGTTCGCGCGCGGCCTCAACCGACGTTGCTCACCCGCAGAACCAGTTGCCGACCTTCGGCGCGTTGTCCTTGAAGACGAGGGCGGCGGTGACGTACGTGTCGGCCAGCAGGTGCCGGCTGACGGCCACCTCGGCCAGGTTGGCCGCCTGCAAAGCGAGCAGCATTCGCTCGCAGCGCCCCCCGCGGCCCGACAGTATCCCCAGCTGGGCCAGGCGGTTGGAGACGGTGGCCACCTCGGCGGCCCAGTGGCGGGTCGCCCTCCTGGCGGGGCTGTACGGGACAAAGGCGCTCGTTACGGTCGGTCATGGATGCCAATTTGGGAGTTTCCTTCCTAAATTCACGAAGGGAAAATTTACAATGGAAGATTTTGGATCGGAAACTGAAAGCAAAACTTTTTTTCTCATTTAGAAAGTTTCAGTTTGAATTTTATGAATTTTAGTGGACTTTAGTGAGTTTTTGAATTGCTTTAGGTGTATTTTATTTTTAACAGTTGGTAACACTAGTGGGCACTAACACTCGAAATAGTGATTCAAACTGTCGAACTTGATGATGAAACAATTTGCTGTTAATCAATTAATCAAATCAATATCCCCAAAGACTTTAGTTTTAATATTAAGGTGTTAAAGAGCCATCCGAGAAAATCGAACTCGCCTTAAAACTTTAATTACCCAGGTAGATTTAATGCTATAGAAAAAAAATTGCATTAAATTTTTATAGTAATAGTATAGATCGTATATTTTGTAGTGCAATAACCCTACATACTGACAATAATGATTTTAAGTAAAAAAAAAACCAGCAAATAATACATAAATTAATGAGTGCCTTAATTGATAAATTTTTTGCCTAAACAATTTATTTCAACAAACCTGTCACTCCAGAGGTCACCAGCACGACGAGCCAAGCAGCTACCAAATGGCAGTCTTTGGAGCATCTGCCTTAATACCGCAGCTATGAGGGCTGAGTACTTCCCTGATTGCACGCTCTTGCCACATACAGCCAAGGCCCGATGAAATTCTAAGCTGGCATTTGTTAAATCACTCTTAAACAAAACATAAAATTAATTTAGTATTTATTGCAAGAGTTCAAATTGACCGAAAACATGTTTATAATTTCTTTAACTATTGTGTGTGGATGTATTTATAAACATTAGTATGATTTGATTATTTTGGTTAGCCTTTAAGAAACACCTCAGAGTACTACTATAAGTTAGCTGTAAAACACAAAATTCCTTACCTTTTTCAAATAATTTTCTGCCTGTCGTTTATGTGAATAAAAAAGTCCAGCCTCTTTCGATTGCGATTTTGGCACAGAATCACCATATACTAATAGTTTTATCAAGCACAATCCAAGTACACAAATGTTTATTAGATAAATAAAGAATGTGTTGAAAAGCCAAGGTCCCCATGATGTCCCAAATGGATCTGAAATAGCATATTTTAGAGAATAATTCAATTATGTTGTTTGGCTTTATGACAAATTTCAAAGACATCTTGGCAATTTCAAATAATTACAAAACTTGTCACCCTTTTGGCAAACAGAACATTCTGTGCCAGTTCTAAGATTAGAAGAAGAAACAAGAGTGTGAACACTCATGACTTCTAGCAGAACAGTTAAGTAATAAAATAGAAAGTGCTTTTTCAATTAAAATTAAATACTTGTACTTTTTCCTTCTTAGATCCATTGAACCCTGATGGACTTTTTATAAATAAAATAATTATTGGAACAAAAACTTACTATCATTTTCATCAGATAGTATTCTTCTCTGATCAATTCTCCTCGTATAATCAGTGGATGTAGATTCAAACATAAAGGCACCAAAGAAGGCACTGAATGGATTGAAGGCGATAAGTCCTACCATGAAAGCACAAAGTGCTAAACGAGAATGGTCACCCATTCCTATTACAACTTTAGAATATTTATCTTCCACCTAAAAAAGTATATTTCAAATACAAATCATTAAAAATCTGCTGTTTCTTTCTGCTTAAGTTGTATTTTAAAAAAATGTTATTAAATTTCATTAAAGAAATAAATGTTTCATTCAAATTAAAGAAACAATTATTTTCTATAACAAAATTATTACATATTTTAAATTAGTAACCAATGACCTGGTGAGGCAGTTTCTAAGCTATTGCCCTTGTCGCCAATGGTCATGGGTCCGATTCCAATGAAACCTAGACGATAGCACCAAGGCAACAATTTGTGTGACCCATGGACATTTGTTTTAGATCTGGGTGTTTGTTAAAAGGTTCTGAGGCAGGCGGACATACGTAAAAAACCTAGCCTAACCCTGATAAAGGCAGGAGGGTCATGATTTAAACATATTCACTAATTAGAAAATGAAATCAAAATAATAGGTCTTGCTAAATGCTTATTATAAAGCTATATAAGATTATATAAAAAGGGCATAATGTCAATTTTAAAGGAACAGTAATCTTAATTTAAAACACTAAATAAACAAATGATACCTTAAAGTCTGGAGAAGATGGTGAGTCACTGTCAAGAGGATGTGGTGACTGATAAGGTGAAGAAATATCACTGTGCGGTGGGGTGTATGCTCCTTCAAACACAGGTTCCTTGACTCCAGATTTTTGACAAACTAGTTTTAAAGCCATGTTTTCTTGCTTCAACCTGGTGTTCTGATTTTGAAGGTACTTGATGTATTCAATTGTTTTTCTTAAAATTGCAGATTTATTAAGCTGAAATATGAAAGTTATGATGCAAAATAGAATATTTGCTTTAAATATTAAGATGACACAAACCAAATATTTTCCATGTTGATAACCTTTTATTATCATGTTGGAAATATTCACCATTTTTAAAATGAAATACAGCAAGTGAAAAATTAAATACCTTAGCTTCTTCTCCGACAAGCATGTTCTTCAATTCAACAATTCGATCATTTATACTTGTTCTGTAACGCCTTTCAATAGCATTATGGGCACTTCTTTTTACTTCTTTAACTTTAGGTACAGCTAAATTTGGAGCTTGGTTTAATGCTATTTTGTCACCATCGAGAACTACAGGTATACCAGTTAAGACAGTTGGACCAGTGCTGCTAGTAAAAAATGTATGGATTGGTCTGCTTTCAGTAACGGAATTTGAATTTGTCAATATTCCTTGTGTTGTAGCTGTCAAAGTTAATAAATGTATACTTAATAACATTGCAGCAGATAACATTAATTTATAGTTAACGACACAAAAATCAATCAGAAGTTGCTAAATCAAAGGTTTATCAATATAAGAATGGTAAAATTACTTTTAATATCAAGATCATTATTTTGCAAATTTACATGTATGGAAAAATGATAACAAACAAATAAACATTAAGAAAATTACCTGATATTGGTTCATTAGTATACATCACAGTTTGGGCTTCTGGATTAATAATATTGGACCGCAGAATAACTGGTGAGTAACTTTGATCTGTACTTTTAAGGATGAATGGAGTTACAGTTTTAGCATTACTAGGTAGTAAAAGTGGTTGATTTTGTTGATGTGCTTTGTTCCCTTGGGTAAGTTGTGCTGTACCATCTATTGGAACCAGAGATGCTCTACCATCAGGAAATTGTTGTAAGTTGGCTCTAGTAATGTTGACATAAACAGGGCTTTGTACCACCTGCTGAATAACCATAGGAGATTGTGGTGGAACGCGTGTTTGTCCATGCTGAGTCACATCCGGCAAAGGTGCGCCGTCGTTTGGCGGCTGCAAATTATAACCTTCTTCTCTGCTATACACACCCTGTACAGGACTGCTTTTCGGTTGTGAAACACTCTGCGGCGGTTGAGAAACTTTCCTATTATGCGAATACTGGGAAACTAAAGGATTTCCGCTTGAATTATATTGTGGCGAAGCTTGAGGTTTTGCTTCAACGATTGTTTTATTCTCAACGCACCAATCCAAACTAGGGTCATTGTCAACTATTGCGAGTTCTTCTTCTAGTTTACTCATAAAGTCGCCATCGTATCCGTTAAGGAAATCTGTAAAGTCTAATAATTACATCATATGCGGTAATGTTCAACAAGTTTCTAATAATATGATATCTTACCTTCGAATTCAGATATATCTTGAGTATTAAAGACATCGTTATTAAGAAATGGTTCGTGGTCCATTGTGTGTAATATTTGATTAGAAAACTTTTATAACATTATCAATTTTATATATTATATTAAATAAAGTTGCTATGTACACTCCGTGTTTACGTTTTGGATATTTTGACATAATATAAGTCATAGAACTTTGTTGGCCAATCAGAAACCAGGGTTATGGTGGTGTGATTCTACGTCTTGAAGTTCATTCATTATCAAAATTCGTGACGCAATAAAGAACATTCAAAATAAAAATGTTATCATTTGAATATTACATTGTGCTATAATTTGTAACTATAAATATTGAAAAAATATATTCATCATATAAAACGTAGTGTTACGATTATCTTTATAAAATGAATTCCATATTATTTTAATTTGGTGTAAAGTATTCTCAACAGATGGCACTTTTTTCTAAATTTAGAAGTTTTTTGAAATAAAAAATATTAATTATTTATTACATTACATCAGAACTACAGTAAATTATTACAAACCTGTTACTATGATTTTGTAATAGCGTACATAGTGAGTACCCTCTTAAATTATATTAACTAATAACTTATTTAGTTGTGCTGCCAAAACAATCTCTCATAATCATTTACCTCGAAATATGTATATGATAATAACACACCACATAAAACACCAAGAGTTTTGCAAAAATGTAATTTGAGGTAAACCAAAAATATGTAATAAATATCAAAAGTAACCAAAAATAACTATGAAAGTAAATATCACTCCTTCCAGCGCGGGCCGTCCTACACTGCAATAGTTAGTACGAGGCTGCCCTCGAGAACCTTTCTTCTGAACTATGTCGGTTATATTTGTTCTACTGCGGATGTCTTCGTTAGAAACTCTATCACGCAGAGCAATACGGACCATAGTCCTCCCCATAGCTTTGCGCCCCATAGCTAGCTGAGCGACTTTGAGCTTTCTCATAAGGCCAGCAGTGAGGGACCACATCTCGGTTAATTAATTCAAATAATGACAATTCGGATATGTGCCACAACAATACTGAGCTGTGTGTGGATCACTAACGGCTGGTTTCAATATAGTATCTATCTATAAGTATACATTTATTCTGTAGATTTTGGTTACTAGCTATACAAATACAAGTTATATGTATTTGACATTACATCCATAATAAGTCAAAATTCTATTTCCAGTTAGTAATCAAGAGATAGAGAGAATAATTAATAAGTCCGTTAAGAAACCCGCGAAAAGGTTACATATTGTTCAATCATTGAACAAATTCCCCGAATCAATCGGCACCCGTCGACGATTCAGTATAGTAATATAAAGCAAGGCATTCAAAATCAAAGGTTGCATCACAAAGTGATGAAACCTTTGATTTTGAATGTGAGAATGAGATTTTTTCGTTTTAAAATAATTAAACAAATTGCTTTAACTATTTGAATACTAATAGATTCTATTTACGTAGTATTAATTGTAGAATTATCAGCCATAGGTTAGGTATAGCGTTAAAAAATCGCAGTAAATCAAATCATAAGAAACTAGGTATATAAGTAATGATTTAGAGGGTTACGGAAAGTTAGTTTGTTGAGATACGTATGTAATGTAATCTCGGAAACGGCTCCAACGATTTTCATGAAATTTAGCATGTAGGGGATTTCGAGGGTGGGCCTGGGGTAGCAGAAAAAGTAAATTAACAATCATGCACGTGACAATATGAAATGTTTATTATATAACAGAGGTGACAATATTTTGAAGAGAAAAGAAATCCAGAAGTCGATTCCCGCAGCGCCGAGAAACTTTCGTCCTATTTTCTACAAATTTTATTCTCACGTTCAAATGTCGTTGTAAAACGATGTTAAAATTGTTTGTATACTGTAAGGGTACAGCAGCAGATGATTGGTGCATTTGGTGCACTGCTTTTTTCATTGCCGCATTGCTTAAAATGTAAAAGAAACAATGTAGATAAAAGTCGATGTTTTCTCGAAGCCAAAGAACTCTTCGCAAAATTAATTATGATTTCGAATAATCTCCGAAATAATGTCTGCAAAATGATGCTTCTTTGCGAATTTCATCTATTTGTCAATGGTCGAACTTTTACCGCGCTTCGTATTCAGCAAATGCATCACAGTGGCGTAGCTATTGCATGGCCAGGCGTTGCAGTGCACCAGGGCCTAGAAGCTCAGGGGCCCCCTAAGCTTTGAACAGAAAGGTGCAGCCATGTCCCGACTCTAGCAAATCTCGAGAATGCTTACAAATTTTATATGATGTTAAATGAACATTAACAATAACAGAATTTTTAAGACTTTCAACACATGCGCAAAGCATGGCTATTTTTTACCGTTGATTGATTCTGAACATCTATATCAGCGATAAGCTCATGTGTTGATAGTCGTGAGATCAATTCCACCCATCAATACAACAATGACAAAACTAGTTGATGCAAGGTGTATACATTTGAATAACACATGGCTACAATCTATAAGGATTTTGTGTGATTTGGCCATAATATAACGTTGTGCCAATGAAATGATTGATTAAAGCATCCAACAATATTCGCTACGCTATAGACAATATATATCTGTCTTAGCGCTTTGGACTCGCAGCTGATTTAATTCTTTTATTCATAATTTACTTCACTCAATGTCACCATTTCCGTAATTTCCCGGTGTGATTCCCACCTCAGAGGGTGCTCACAGAGTATGTGCTATGACCATGAGTTCTTTGAGTGGTGCGTGTTAGGGTTCAAATAAAAATGTGGAAACTAACATAGGAATTTATTGAAATGTATTATTTAAATCTCGTAAGAGCGATCGTGTCAGATCTACTTCTTTTATACAGTTGCGAGTGTACTAAAAATTAAGAAAGAACGCTATTTATGTGCAAAGAAGTGTACTGTGCGATCTAACGCTTTTTCTACTGTTCTCATTTCTAGCTATAATATTTACGTTGATGATTTGTAGCTGTACCGCCGCTTAGAAGTAAAAGAGTTAAACAATACTACTTCATCGATAAATAATGGTTTGAGGTGGCATAAACCAATTTTCTTTTTTTTCATTAATGTGAGAAGGTGTCAAGTGAGCTGGCGGTTCACCTGATGTTAAGTGCAGTAAGTAACCGCCACCCATAGACATTTGCAACATCCATAAGGTTGAAGAGGCGTTGCCACCTTATAATAGAGTGAGTCCCGTCTACCTCACTCACCAGACCAAACGTAGAAGTATATCTAACACTTCCACTTCACGCCGGTTTTCTTTATATGTGAGAGGTTATTAAGCGAACAGATGTTCACCAGATTTGGTCATAGGCGTATATAACAGGGGGGCCGGGTGGGCCGTGCCCACCCCAGGATTTTGGGTTACCGATTCGAAATTCTAAACTGGACACCTATGAAACTATCCATATAAAAAAATCAGTTGAGATGAGACGTTCTCAAGCATTACACTTCTTCGTATAGGAAACTAGCGACCCGCCCCAGCTTCGTACGGGTGTAGATATTGAAATTCTCGAATTTTCTCTACTTTAATATGAATAATGTTTTTTGTTTGTAGTAATGGCTCAGGCCCACCCTGGAAAATGGCCCTAGATACGGCAATGGATTTGGTTGATAGATGCGTTACCAAATTTCAAATAACTGGGCATCCTTTACCTACTACTTCCCCGGCCTATTCTTATAGCGGCTGCGTGGCTCTACCATCTTATCCCAATAAATCTCAATTGTTTTTCATCGCTAATCACCTTAGACATTATGATGTAATGAAGTTTAGTTTCCGTGCTATAGATAGGAATCGGTTTAGATTTCGATGTAACTCACTGATGCATAAAGTACTCTAAATCAAGGAATATTCTTTGTCGTAATATTCTGTGACACTCAAGAACAGGAAACGGAAGAAACCATGTGATAAGATATTTTTCAGCCATCACTGGTGAAATTTTCTCGATTTACTGAAAACTTTAAATAATTTTTCCACTTGTAATTCATGTCATCATTAAAATTTGGCGTAAAAGCTTTGTATTTCAAAACGTAGATTCAAGCTCTGGATTATGTTTCAAAAGGCGCTTACTAATCTTGTCGGATAAATAAATTAAATCTTCAAATATGACTAGTATCTACTATTCAATTAATTTATAACTAACAAAAAAAGTGTACCTAAATTGAGAATATTTTGCCAGGTGCTACATTTTGATATCTAAAGTTTTATTTAATCTTCAATAGAATTTTAATTTATGATTACTTTGTATCCTAAAACATATTAATTTAGGATTAAAAACAATTTAGGATGAATTGTTAGATGTTTAGAATTTAGGAACAATTTTATGGTTAGACAAGTACGCTACATAATGTACAAATAATAAGTACATGAAATTAAAACTGGGCTGCAGTAATTTTTCTGCAGAGAAAGCTTGTTAAGGCGGCTCTTTTATTTCCAGCTCCGCGAACAGTTAATATTATAGTGTTCATCTGGACTAAGGGATGGATTTTTGTACAAAAAATAATGTGTTCTAAGAAAGAATTACCTATACAAATTGAATTTTGCAGTAGTTAGAGGTAAAGTCGAGGTTTTAAGTGCTCGTGTCGAATATTCGGTTTGGATTTTGGGTGAGCAAACATTGTTTTATATGTAATTAACGGTTTTCTTGCGCTAGTCTTTCATAGCTGGGCTTACTAAAAATTATCTAAATCATCTTCCTCCTGCCCGTATCCCACCAAGATGGGGTCGTCAATATTAGGTATATTACGTTTTTTTTTTTGTAATTTTCAAAATGTATCTCTTAATGGTAAATAAGTTTTTGGGAAAAAAATTACCGAACTTTATTTATATTTCTTAATACTCGTTCAACTTCGAAATTAGAAGAGCTAAAAATTCTCGATAGGACTCTTATAAGAAATAAAATAAAAGTGGACCGTTATTATTTAGTCCTATTTTTCGTGCCCTTGACAATCACAAAATTTTATTATTTTGTATTAAGTATTATTGTATTAAGTACTTATACTATCTCTGTTTTGAATGGTTCTATTAATTATTCCGCGTTGAGCACTTTTATTTATGTTTAAATTACGTTCAGCCGTCGTATGGGTATATGGAAAGGAATTTCGGGAATCAATTGAGTACTTGAGATATTAAACGTTTAATTTATATTTATAACATTATATTATCTGTAAATATAGAGTTCTTACTATAATATGTAGGTACGAGATAAACAAACTCAATATTAACTAAGTGTATAGGTACATACATAGCCAACTACTTACAAATACGTAAGATGTCTTGCGTTCACAACTAAAGGCTGAACTCTAATGCATAACTTCATACTTAACATTAGATTTATAGGCACAAAATAGGTATTAATAATCACATAACATTTGAGTTAGTCAACAAAACAGTGAGGTATAAGAATTATGACTGGACAGACATGGGCTTAACGGTGTCCACGTATATATATGGAGCGTCCTTCTAGAGTTTTCTAGACGAGTTTCAGATTATTCTCATAAGATTATACATTAAAGGAGCGCACTGCGTCTACTGGAATGTCCTTAACACAACTCGACTACGACGAAGGCACAACACTGATGTTGGTGTAGCAACTACACGATCAACTTAAACATATGTAAATACTAGGTCGTATCTATGGCATTTTCAAACTAGACTACATTAACAAATCAGTCTTCCAATTAATTAGCAAAAAAAAGTAATATGTAAGCATATAATATAATTAACTTAAACAATATTGTATAATTAACATAAATGTAAATTTATTTGACAGTATTTAACGTTTAGCAGGTAATATAACATATTATATTATAGTCATCAAAAATAATAATGTATATAGTTAAATACATAGGACAGATGAATGTTTGAACAGTGATTGACTTCTAATGTAAATAAGTATTATTTATGTGTGTGACACTAAAATTAATTTTTATACGTATATAGGTTTTCGCGACCACATGTTATCGAATTACAATTTAATTAAGATTACCGTTAGAAATTATGTTATAACATTGAGCATCCACACCTACTTAATGATTACGTAACCGCAACTCTAATAAGAAAGTCCGTGCGAGTGCAAACCAATCGATGACAACGTGATTACTAGAACTAGACATCAACAATGAACAATTATGGCAAACAGCAAACAATTACATTAATCTTAAACCATAACTATAGGAATTAATAGGTATCTATTATAAATACGTCGCTTGTTGTAATGCAAACAGCGCGCAAGCCGCACGGTGCCTGCTGTGTCCTCGGTGACGACGTCGAAGGGAGCTGATGTCGACGGGAGGCTAACATCGTACGGTGCTTGGGACTAGAGTCAATCTGTAGCGAACGTGAGGTAATGGCGGCGTTTCAGTCTCTAAACATCACAGTCGCGGACAACAAAATTGCACGAGAACACGTCTGGGGGACCCAGCAGGGACGCGACGGCCTACCGCCCTCGGCCCTACGGGGTTGCATCGACTACTCAAAGTTACACGCTAATTAAAGCTAACCTACTCGCTAACCCATTAACAGAGACGTAAATGTTATCAAACATAAAAATAAAAAAAAACTAAAGAGAAGGGAAATAAAACAAAAAATAAAATCACAAAAGACACCGCCACAACGTCTAACGGAAATTTTATTTCGTTATCGACTCGTGGTGGCGTTCGGAAATAAATAGAGGAGAAGAGAGGTAGAATATAGTTGGCCGCGGGGCCCATTGCAATCGCCCGGCCGGAGCGCCCGGTCAGTGTGGAGTGCGCGCGCGGCGCGTCCTACCAGTGGCCTAGCGATGTGTGCCTAACCCTAACTTTGTACGCCTAAGTCAGTCTTTTCGAATGTGCGCGATCGGCCACCGATGTCGTTCAGTCTCTCTCGCTGCTGCAGTCGAGCGCGAAGTTGCGGGGCGGCACGATGACTCCGGCGGGCGGGTCGGCGTCTCTGCGCCGGGACACGGACAGGTCCTCCACGTGGTCTTCGTCGGGCGGCGGCGTGTGCGGCGACTGCGGCGCCGACCTGGGCGGCGTGCGCGGCGCCAGCGCTGCGTGCGCCGCGGCCGCCAGGGCCATGGCGTGCAGCGCCTCGCGGCCCCCGTCCCTCGTGGCGCCCTCCAACGCTTGTTGCAGGAAGGACGGATCTATAAGGGGGGTGGCCGGCGTACCTTCGTCGTTACCCCCAGTGCCGCTCAAGCCGTACGGGAAGGCGGCGCCGTTCGACTCCCTCTTCACTCCCCGGCTCATCGGTCGGCTCGTCGTTATGCCGAGCTTCTTCACTTTGTCGTAAAGGGTGCGCGACGGCACGCCGTACTTGCGCGACGCCTGCAACGCGCTCATTCCGTTCCTGACGCATTCGATCGCCGACATTATGTCGGATCTCGTGTACTGCTTGTACCGCTTCCACTCGGGCTTCTGTTGGGGCGGCACGTACGGCGCCAGGCCCGCCCTGACGTCCTGCTGGAAGTTCGGTGGCGGCGGCGAGGGGTGGAAGGTGCGCGAGTTGTCCTCCTCGAAGGAGCGCTCCGTGTAGGGCGAGTGGGCGTCCTCAGAGCGGTCGGACCGGTTGTAGTGCGGGGAGGTGGCGCGCGAGGACATTCGGCGCGGGCGGTAGTCGAACGCGCGCTGCGGACTCGGCGGCCGATCGGACTCGTGAGCGGACCCGTTGGAGTGGAGACGCGGGGGCGCGTGCTGGCTGACGGGGTGGCACACGAGGGACATGGGCTGCGAGGAGTCCACCGGCGTGGCCTGGGCGAGGACGTTGCGCAGGATCGGCGTGTCGCGGGTGGCCAGCATGCTGGAGAGCTTCTTGCGTTTCAGTGGGTTCATGTCCGGGGACTCGTAGGCGGCGGAGAGGGCGGGCGCCGGCGGGGGAGGCCACCGGCAGGAGAGCGCGGGGGCTGAGGCGGGGGGCGAAACGCTGGAGGGCGCGGCGGGGACCACCCTAGGGGGGGACGCGGCTGGCGTCCTCTCGCTACTGCCCGGACGACGGCGCAGTTCCGTCATGTCGAACAGGCCCTTCACCTCCAGCTCTTCGGCTACCTTCATAATGCGCGGGATGTGGGCCTGCGTCACGTTCACCTCGCCCGTGTACATGTACTCGAGGAGAGCGCGCATTTCGAAGTCCTTGACGCCGGGGAACAGAATGCTGCAGTGGTCCATCGGCACATCGGCAAGTATGGACTGGAAATACGGCGAGTTGGCGGCGAGCACTACTCGGTGCGCTTTGAACGTGACCTGGTCGTCAACGACCAAGGTGCAGTCGACGTACGTCTCCACTTTTATGAGCGCCTCCAAGATCTCTACCAGATTGGTCTTGTGATGGTTCCATTTCAGACAGAACGTCTGCTGCCCTTCGCTGCTACCCATTTTTCTTAAATGGGCTTCTGTGGACAATTAGGTTAAAGTTAAATAAAAATGGATTAAGTTTTAAACTTTTGAGGCTATAACAATTTTCTTGTTGGCTACACAAGATTGCACTACATTTTAGTAAACCTAAAAATACATATAAACTGCTAATATATCGTTATAATTTGGTGGCGCAGTTGCCAAGGTATTGGCTTCGGCGTTGGGGGTCATGGGTTCGATTCCCACACGGGACAACTATTTGTGCGACCCACAGATAGTTGTTTCACATCAGGTTGGTTGTCCTCGTGCAATTTATGTTTGTAAAACGTCCTTACAACACAGGATAATGTTACCCTAAGTGAGGGCAACGATTTAAAAAAAAATTATATATATAAATTTAAAGTAATCCCAAATGTAATGTTCGAATATTAAACCAAGTTTGCGATTTTTGCATAATTCATAAATTCTAATTAGCAAGACCTTTATAAGAACTTTAATATTATCGATTAGCATTTTTATTAAATTTCCACTATACAAACTATCCATTACTAATTATTATACATATATAGTTATATTATCCTTATTATATACCTATATGTACGAGCATAAGCAAATGTTAAATATATCACACGTCCTGTTTTTAAGTGTCTATATTAAAATACATGTATTTACTATATAAAATACATAACATTTAATACTTAAAATACCTGGTAGAACGTCATCGAAAGTCGATCCGGGATACATGTTAGTCAAGCACGTAACATGCATGCGTATAACACTGATATTCCACACACGAATGTGTGCAAGCCCTGTGCACGGCGCGACGAACTAAAACCGTATGTGGACGTACGACGCGGCCCAGCGCGGTTGCCCGACTGCACCGCCCTTCCCCATTTACATATTTCGCCTCAAAGCCCTTCCTCACTGCCAAATTGACTTTTTACCTTTTATTCGGCAGGTAAATCGAACATGGGGGACCGATGAAAACGGCTTCGTCGCCGTCCCTCCTGCCATGTAAACTTGTAAATTCCGCATGAATTATCCTTATGCCTGAATGAACCGACTACCGCAAGCCAAAACAAACCTTAAAACTTTCGCGCTCCGGCCAATACTCACAGCATGGCAGCATCTATTTTTTAATCAGAAAATGTAAATAATAATAAAATGATACTAACCTCTTTTTTAGGAAAAAATTAGCAAACGATCCAAAAAGGCGGGGCGGCCGTTGCGCGGGAAACTGTCGAGTTATTTCGCATTGGCACTGCACGAGTGTTTCGTACGCGATCGGGGGTGTTTCGCGAGTGGCCTGCTGCGCGGGCCCTGTGGGGGCGGCGTACTCTCGCGGGCGTCTGGCGGTGACTGCCGGCCGCTGGGGCTTGCGGGCGAGCGCTCGCGGTGCTCTGCGCGCCGCGCCCCGCGCCCTGCGTGCGCTTTTTACGCACGCGGCGCGGCCCAGTGCAGTGCAATTGCGTGCGGGGGCCGCGGGGCCGACGAATTGCAGCGCCGAGGAGGGCGCGCGCGCCAGTGTGCGTGAGTAACGCGTGCGCCGTGCGCGCGCGCACTCACGCACACGCGCGCCCCGTAGATTAAAGCCGAATTCGGCCCGTAAAAGCCGTAGCCTCGCCCCGGTCCTTTGTATGCTAACGTTGAACTTCGCGTCGTGCCATCGATGCCGGCCATTCTGTTGGTCCGCGTTCGCTGATTATCATAAAAATCAAATTAATATGCCCCACTGGCGGTTATATTAGATAAAAGTTTGAGAGTTTCGTAAATGTTTATAGAGTCCCCATCGGCAACACTGCCATTCGGACAAAATGTTAATCTAAGACATCACTTACATTAATTAACACAAGTAATAGTATTGAAGTCTAATCTTCTAGAATTTTTCGATGAAATTAGTAAAACTGTTGTTTGCTCTACATATCCTTACAGAAAAATATGTAATATAATCCCATTTCATTCATTACCTACATTCGATGATACAGTTATCTGATATACACATTTATATCTGTAAAAAAAAATTCACACCGTAAGCAACTAGAAAGTTGAAGCGAAATTATATGCAAACGAAATTAAAGAGTCTGAAAATACTTCAACATTTCACTGTGCATAGATCGCCCCAAAACTTTCCAAAAGTACGTGAACAAACGCTGCGAAACGGGGTCATTGACACATTGCTTGTAGAGGGAACGCCAAAATAGCGCGAAATGCACTCAAAAATAGAACAAGCTGTGTGCAATATTTTTTGTTAAACAGAGCTTGGCTTCCGTTAATTCCCCAGTTTGCGTTTAAATCTTACCACGATGGCGTCGCAAATTACAAATGAAAAACCGAACACATCAGCATATGGTTAAACTTATTATTGTTTTAAGAATGGTCACAGAACAGATTAGGTATAGAAAGGGTTTTCTTTTTGCTTTTTTAAACATTTCACAAAACATTTTAAGACTCTACGTAGAGACAAATTATGTGTTGCCTCAACGATATTATACCTAAATTGGCAGATAGACATCTCTCTATGCTTTTTATAATATAGGTATGTGTGTCCTTATGTATCATAATATAGCATTGTTATTTAAACCTGTCGATTAATACAAATTTTTTCAGTAGAAAACGTTTTGCACATATTAAATTGTTTTTCTTTTATAAAAATGTATAAATTAATGTTTCTTTTAAAAACTGAACTAAGTTTAATAGATATTTGCCGTGTCACTCTTCATTGTCTAGATTATTATACGGGACTAGCGAACGCTACTCTATTGAGGAAAGTCGAAAAATTGATTAAAATGACAATCTACATATAAAACTTACAGATTAAGCCCTTATCATAGGTGCAATAAATTTTGTTTTATGACTATATGTGTGTATATAAAAAAAAATAACTGCATTTTGTATTACAAACAGTTGGAACTCGTAAGAGCAACCGACTCGAACTATTTGCATCAGAGCTTTGCTAAAGAAAGAGTTAAAAAACTTAGTGCTTTTGCATGATTTATGCGTCGGTGTTATGTTAGCATATCAAGCATGAATCAATCAATAAGTCACTTAGGGATCGGAAGATGAAAGGAGCGTATTTAATATGCAAAAAATTCTCACGACTCATAAACAATGGCAGTGAAATGTCAAAGTTGTTCTCGTCACATCAGCGCTGCGTTCTGAAGTGCACTCGAAACAATCGTTTGCATATCGATGACGTTCTCGAAAAAAAAAACGAGGCCTTTTCACAAACATCGATAACAATACTCGATTATCGGTTTTCTTTTTTTTTAATAAAATTAATTAATTATACCGAACAATGGTACATAAAATCTAACAAATATTATTATGATTTATTGGAACAATGTTCCAACAATGTTGGATAACAGCATTGTTGGAACATTGTTTTTTAGTTCTAAATTTTGCATTTTCATTTAACATGAAACAGCGAGTGAAGCATCGGTAGTCAATCACACGACCGTTCAAACCGTACGACAATTTGGTTATTGCCCCAGAAACTAAAATGCAGAAATGCAAATGTGCCTTTGTTACTCCTACCGATTGTGACCTTCGACATTGAGTATGTAATTAGCATAGAAATTCGCAGCTTTGGATATTGTCAAATGAGGTGTGATTGCATTTGATATTGGCGACAATTGACTGACAAAAGCATAATACCAATACCAGCATATACGGCCGTGACCTATCCCACGACGCGAGCGCAGCAAAAACAGTATGCGAAGCGGGGGTTCAATGAAAAAAGCTAATAAAAAAGCAATAACGCGATCCCGCATGGTGGCTCGTTGAGTTACGAAATTGACGAGACCGATGAACCGAAAGTAAGGGATCCATCCGCCATAACGCACTGCACAAATTACCCTCTTTTAGATTGTCTATTAACATCACAAGCACACGAAACCTTCCCTTACACAATATGCTCGATCGGCTAGTGATTATCAACGAAACTTTTTTTGTGTCACAAGTCAATAAAATAATGACAATACAGAAGCACGATTTCATAGTTTTAGTATCCATATTTCATTCTCATACATTCTTTGATATTTAAAAATATTTTATTTTACTGACACTAAAAAATAATCCTTGTAACGGATACCAATATTGAATAAGAAAAATACTATTGTAAGTTCTTGGAGAAAGAACAGTATAAATAAAACTATCAGCTGTATGGATTGCATCACGCTAAATGTGTAAAGAAATTCCCGACGTTCCGAACATTTAACAATCAATGGTCATGGGACAAATTAAAAAGGTTTACACGTAGAATCTTCATCGTCTTCAATCGCTTAAACACAAATAATATGCACTTATTGCTCTATGTAAATTAACAAACTAAACTGTTTTTAATGATGTGTAAGAATTATACATACAATTAATTACATTCGCATTATTATTATATGAATATTATTGTGCTTTTTGTTGCTCACGGCTATTAATATAAACTTTGCATAATGAATTTGGGGTTCGTGGTCGGGATAAATAGATAATTATAATTTCACGGAGAGCCGCGGCTTCGGCATTTGTCACCAGCATCCTGCCACGCGCCCTTCCTGAATTTATTATTTGATATCATCAGGGGCGATTAACCCCCTCAATTCTGTTATATTAACTACTCAGAGACAATTTAACAATATCGAGTGGATAGTATTGCTTGCAACTTTCCACGTTGTCCTTATTCTGTAATTTTTTTCGTATGTCATACCTATTTATTGAACTTTTTTTCGATTAAAATATTGTGTAGAAACAAAAATATATATATGTATTTTATTATTATCATCTCCTCAATTTCATCGTTGGATTTTATATGTATGGATAGTCCACTTTAAATTTCATATGAAGTTTTATAAAGCCTACTTTTCTCTTCTTTGCTTACTCAATCGCTGTCCTAAGATTTTTACGAGTTTAATTATTAAACGTTCTCAAAATTTGTTTTAGCGCTCGAATTAATTCATTAACGGCAAAATTGAGACTTTATTGTTATTTATAAATTGATTACAAATAGTAAGTTAGTACTCAAATTAATTTATATAACATTAATTGGTAGATCCTTGTAGGTAATGTTTCACTTTCACTGCATTAAATTTTAATTAAAAACTCTTACATTTCTACTTTATGTAACAATTATTTTTTAAGCAAAAAAATAAGAAAATTTAAACTTTGTTGAAATTTTTTCTCTGGATGTAAATAATTTCTACGGGTATTTCGTACTCTTTTAATTAAGGCTAATTATAAGACATTCATATGTAAAATATATATCATCATAGGCTAAAATGTTATAAAAAGCACCCCTATAAAACGTGGACATACTAAAGCTAAAGCTAGGTTAGCGCGGGGCGCGTCCGGATGCGACTCATTGTAGCGAAACTCCCCGAGGTGAAACAATGTACTCTTTCCTGCCATTGTTAAATGCAGGCCTAATGTTTGTTACAATCTTCATCCATTCCTTTTCACATAATTGCGAAAAAATACTTATATGCATTTACATGGATAGCGTGGGGACAAACCTAGATAATAAATGTAGAGCTATACAAACGTAAACACTATTTTTAAAATTATCTTTAAAGTGTTAGAAAAATGTATGATATTCAATAATCGTGAAATACGAGCACAATGAAATGTGACAGAAGCGCTACCTTAATACATATTAATTAAAATGTCGTCATAATTCATAAGCACTATATCAAAATTTTGGTACAGATAATATCAGCCCGCACGGCGGCGTTCCGAAATGGGTCAAGAGGCATGATGTAAAAAAACAACTATTATACCTTAAAAGAGGCGGTTCCTCCTAAGTGATGTTGTCAAAATATCGAAAAACACCTGCTCTGCAGACAGTCGGACGCTTAATGAAACAATTAGAGTAGTAGAAATTATATTGTTCCCTATTACAAATCTGTCGAAATGTATTTAATATAAATATTTAGTAAAGAAATTATGAATATCGATGGATAAAAATAAATTAAATCTGTTTTTCATAAAAGTCATACAGACATAAAACTAAAGTATAATAAAAATAAAAGATAAATGCTGACGTTTAAAGTGTATTCACGATAATTCGCTCTCCCCGCGGCCATGTTGCCTTCCACCGAAGCTCGACGAAATAAAACAACCGCGAGCTCTTTGCTTTTTTACTTTTTTATACAGGATCATTTTTCTTACCGGAATTATTATCGTTTGTGTGACGTTTAAAATTGACCCCTATGGCTTAGCGATAAGGTGGCGTTGATGCATCTCACTTGCATCGGAGTGGACGTCCTTGGACGGACTCGATCTGCTAGCCGACACCGTTGCACTGTGATACGATACTTTTAAAAGCCATTGGAAAGTAGAAAACTTAAGTCGACGAATATTCTCGTGGATCCCTTTTACTGTACGTTCATTTTTAATAATATGCATACATCAACGTCGGGAATATTGATATTATTTGTTGTAGACTTGAGCAATGTTACGGTAGTTTGTTAATCACATTCAAACATTTAGGTACGCATACGGTTAAAGCACAGATTTAAGCATTAAATCTTAGTGTCATAACCCGGCTATCATGAAAATTATATAGATAAAATTCCTAAAATAGGTTTATTTAATACTAGCTTTTCGCCCGCGGCTTCGCTCGCGTTGAAGCCCTTAAATAAATATCTTTCAAGCCTTTACAACACTTTGTACTAATACACCGCTGTAAATTATTAATTTGTCTAAACTTACTAACTTTGATCTGATGTCCTTAGTTATCATAATATGTAAGGAATATAGAAGTTGATCGAAGATACGAGTTGAAGAATTTTTCTCATGAGCTTGGTTAAGTATAGACAGATAGTAATATATGTTTTTGATAACGAAATACATATAAGTGTGTAGGTACTGCAAATTTTCATATAGTGTATCTGCTTGTGCTCCACAAAGTACGTAATTAATATTATCTACACCGTTGGTATCTTGTTTTTTTTAGTTCAGACCTCACACCCCAGACGAGAGGTTAAAGTGTATGTTAAAAACTTTTATCTTACACTGAGATTCTCTGAGCTTGTGGTACTATTTGGGAGGAGCCAGCAGATGCTATTGTATGACTCTATTACAGTAAAAATGTGCAAATTAATAAAAAAAAATGAAATGTGTTATGATCTTCATAACACTTTAATATTTTTGTTGCTCATCGATCAAGTATTGATTGTACTCTATGATTATGATTTTGAATGTAAAGTCGTAAACATCTCAGTAAAAAGTGAAGTAAGGCTAAATGTTTGTTCTTAGACACGCCCATCACTAATGAGAGGTAGAACGTCTAATTTATGTCGCCCTCGCCAAATGTTAAAAAACCACTTTCGTAACTCTGCACGAAAACGCCACACGACGACAAGTCAACCAAAGTACAAGTCCACCTCGAAATCCGTATAAACTTTCCATTTATTTCAATACCTACTCTGGTTAAGAAACTGTCCACTAAATTGGTTGATTATGCCAAATTAATATGCAATAAGTGAAATGTAAAATCATCATCACGCTGATATAATAATAAATTAGCATGGAATCAATATTTTAATACTTTTGAAAAACAAAAATGTTTATATTGAAATTGCCAATCGACAACATTATAATTTTATGCTAGTTTTAAACACTGCAAAATATTCAAAGAGAAGTTACGACAATACTTTAAATATGTGAAATTTTGTTAGTAAATCTAGTATCTTACAGTAAGTAGTACAGAAACATTTTTTTCCAAAAAACAATACTGGCCTTCATTTCGCCATTATTGTAAGAAAAAAAATCGATAATGTATCATGGTCACATAGCACGTTATTTGCGTCGCGCGTGCATAACGCGACCGACGAGTAGATGCCACCGCGATAGGCGACTGGTCGACTATAATTACAGGTATCAATCGCAAAAACTGGTCTACTTTATGCGACACCATAAGGGCGAATGAGTAATATAAAACCTATGATGAATGCATTATTTCGACAACAGGTTCCACGCTTTCTTTTGAATCATTTTCATTATTTACTTTAAAAAGGCTTGGCTATTGTAGCTTGATTACTTGGGCTATATTTATTTTCCGAAACGACCAAGGTTACTCAAATTACTCTATAACAGACTAAACTTAAAGATACCAAGCTCGGAAACACTATTGGCAGTGACATAAAATATATGTAATGAAGTCGATGTTTATCACAATAAAAATACGTATTATTACAGTTTGCTTTATTTTAATGTAAGACAATTTGTAGGTGAGAAATTGTTAATTCAGTCCATCCTTGATTAATTTTATGGTTTGTGTAACGTTTTCCACGTCACCTTGGCGACGAGTTGTGGTTGCTATACGTGATATCTTTTCGTGAGATTTATGACCTCTTAATTATTTCTTATTACAGAAACAAATCTCAAATCTCTCCTTTTGACAACAACGACACAATGACAACAAAATTGTACTGGACGTTACTAAGACAAGTTAAAACTTCAAATGTAATAATTAGGTTTAGACATCATCAAAATACCTACTTTATTTTGTGCCAAACATATAAGTATCAAAAAGTTTTTTTGAAACACTGCATTTTTTTAAAAATATTTCACAATGTTGTTGCTATTGTCGAACATATGCGGCAATACTAGAATAAATGTATTTTGTAAGCGTCTTATTTGCAATCACCCCTTTGTAATGTTGACATGGGGCTGTGGCCAAAATTGTATTTTTATTATAATAGCACCATTTTATTGAGTGCCCGACGATAAGGGTAAACAGTAGGGTTGTTTCGTACAAATAGACAAGTATGACCGTAGCAAATAATTAACTATGAATAATAATGTTATTTGATACTTTTTAAAGATATGATCGTAAAACTCATGTTATAAGAAACTTTTGAAACGTTATATTTTAGAAATTTTCCGAATTACAAAATATTTCCAAATAATTTGTTATCACCTACTTTTGAATCTATAAATTAAATATTATATTCTATAATTATACATTAACATGCAAAATTTTTTGTAACTTAATAAACCAATGACTGATTGAATACATTACTTAAAATAAAACCTAGTAAAAAATATTGCCATCCAATATTACCCTTCTAAAAAACATTGTGACAGTTTTATTATCCAAATAATAGCAAAAAAGTATGTACAGTCGGCGAATATCTCTTCCTGTCCGAGTCCAATTCGACCCGCATCACGAGGCTTAACCTAAACCCCTTTTCACATTTAACGTCAAAAAAAAGGATCTTACATGACTATTTTATTGCTAAACAATATTTGATTCTTTTTCAGGATTTACTTGATATGAACGTGACACGACTCAAAACAACCCAAAAAAAATTGGTGTAATCTCTTCATAAAGTGTAATATAGTTCTTACGATGAACAATACTAAATTGATAAGTTGAATATAAATAGTTATTCTGTGATAAGGTTGGGAAGAAAGGTTGTACAAATAGTTATTTATTTATTAAAAGAGTAATAGCAAAAAAAATTTGAATGCAAGCAATATTACCAGTGCATAAAACTCAATTCACATCAGTTATCTGATGCATTTTCGGTCGGCCGTTTCGTCCACGATATTGCAATTTGTCATTTCGTTATCGCGCACTATCTGTCTGCATTAGTTTCTCGGTACCGATAACACTATCTGTAGCTAGAATCCGTCGCAATATTATCGTGCTCCCTCGACGCGCCGTAGGCATATTGCAGAAACACAACATTAATAAAGATTGTGCATTCACGGGATTTGCCAATACTATCTCAGCGCGTTAATTTGCACGTCGCAGTGAATGTATACATATACATTCACTGCGATGTTTATTAATTCGTGAACATGTACTGTTTATCAATTCCATTTATTTTCAAATAAATGGCAGTGGACATGGAGGTGAACCTCCGTTTCATTGAGGTGTACTTCCTCAGGTGAAGCAGATTAATCTTATTTCATTATCACTTGAGAGTAGCAATACCAACACAAGCTAAACTGTCGTTCTGAACTGGTCTCAGCGCTCCCAGCCCTTGATTAAGACAGTCGATGGCCATCGAGCTCACGATCTGCATACCGGATGCAACAGTCTTGTTAATGTACGCATGTTCACATGCATGACTTCTATCCTAATAGTAGTCATGAATTTGAACAGGTACCAAACTCGTTGCTGAATCGTGCGACCAGCGTAGCTTTATATAAATCTTGGACATTAAACATAAGTGGACCGAGAGGAAGCATTTACACACAAGCAGAAGCTCCTTTGTGACCTGTGAATTTAATCGATATCAAGTGTATATTTTACCATGAACACATTTAATATTCAAGTCAGCTAGTTTGTTAATTCATATCGAAATATTGGTAAATGTTTCTGGTTTATTAAAGCCAGGAGATTTTGCATGTTCCGGATGTTAATATTGGCCATTACGTCGATATTGCATATCTTA